GCCAAGTCATTGGGTTTGAATGAATGAAACATTCGCTCCTGGAGCGAGTAATTGATGCTACGGCTATTTAAATAAAATCATTCTTTAAAAAAAAATTTATATTGGGGCCAGCAGGTGGCATGGTGGTTAAGGGCGCTAGACTCCCACATGGCTGACCATGGTTCGAGTCCTGGACCTGGCGGCTTGCTTTCTCTCTCTCTCTCTCTCTCTGTCCCTCTCTGGACAAGTGAAAAAATAAATAAAGTTAAGTAAAATAATTATTTTAAAAAATGATATAAACGCCAGTACAACTCTGCTGGAGCTAAAGCATGGAAAGAAATCAAGAAAGAAAAAAAACAGATATAATACCACTTATCTTAATTTACCAGAACTTGTCTCCTGCTTTACAGCTATAACGAATCGTTCCGATGTCCGATAGGAACCATTTATTTTGTCATTACAAAAGCACCGAATCGAACGCTTAGAAAAGGTGCACTCCTGCACCATGCCTGCGGCGGCTGCAGCCCGCGTGGCTGTCGAGCATGTCAGACATGCCTGGTGAGATCTGTGAGGTGCCAGATGCCAGATCTCAGAGACGTTGTGTCAAAGCGTTATTGTGCTGATTACATTTTGAAACGATAACATTTGAACGTATTAGGTTAATAAAATACATGACTAAATTAGTTTTACTGTTTTTTTTTTTTTTTTTGAGAGGTTTTTGCTATAGGGTGCGTGCGCTCGCCAGAAAGACAGAGAGACAGAAAGCAGGAAATCACCTTCCAGGGGGGATGGTCACGCTGCAATCCCTTCTCCTGTCTCTTCTCGGGATCTTGGGCACGCACGCACATGCACCCGGCGTGAGTTTAAGCCACTGGGTCTGGGACTCGAACTGCGCTCAACTACATGGGAGTCCAGTGACATAGCCATTACACTAACTACTGGCCCCAGTTTTACTTTTCAAAACTTAAAAAAATTATTCAATTTTATCGTTATCATTATTATTATTTTAAAATTTGACCAGAGAGAGAGGGAAAGTGGGAAAGCAAGCCACTGGGTCCAGGACTCGAACCGTGGTCAGCCTTGTGAGAGTCCAGCACCTCAACCACCATGCCACCTGCCACCTTCACCTTTTAAAAGCTATAAAAATGCATTTATGAGAAAAATTTAAATTACGTGTCTGGTTTTCATTTGTGACTCACGTCATGTGTCTGTTGAATGGTCTTGGTTTAGACACAGTTCTCTTTCCTGTCTCGTGGGCCAACAGGCAGGTAGAGTTCGTCTGCCTACAGTTAAAATCGTAGAATTTTAATTGCAGAACTCACCTTTTTTTATCTTCCATGGCTTCGAATCAGTGCTGGATTTCTCAGATTTCTGTAGAGTTTAAACCATGACCCTCATATCGGCCCATTCTATTCTTATACATTACTTATTTCTCTGAAGGGATGGTAACAGCTGTTACTCTGAAAGGATGCCGAGTGGCACAACTGGATTAAGGAGAGGCAAAGGGACGTTGGTTCATTTTTGTGAACATCGTAGCCTTTACTGCGCTGCTGTGGGGTATGAGTCTCCCAAGGAGAATGCATGGTGCGATACCCCCAGACTTAACCACGGAACACTTCCGCGTTGGCTGCAGGACAGCTATGCAGTCCCTCACACAGCACTGTGAAGGGCTTCCCATGTGAACTCATTCATTAATTCATCGACTCTTTTTAAACAAGTGTTTTATTGACTTAGTCCCTGCCTGGAAGTGTTCCCAATCAAAGAGAAGGGCAGGCCACCAGCTAGGACAGAATCCTGGAGAGGGCGTGTCACCCAAGCCGAAAGAGCAGTGTCTGCAGGCAGGGGATGTCGAGCATTGGGGATGAGGACAGGTGTGCCCCTCGGTCCTTAGTTAATGTGGGCTGGGATGCCAAGCACTGTCAGGCTTTTCTGTTCATCTTCATAGCAGCCCTGTTTTTTCACCCACTGTGTCAGGAGGTTTATCTACTAAGTCGTCAGGAAAGTCATGATGTGTTTTTGCATAGAAAAATACACCGTGACTTTTCCCATACATTGGGGCATCAGAAAAGTCACGGTGTATTTTTTCTATGCAAAAACGCATCGTGACTCTTCCGAGGACCCAATATTATCTCTTAATTGTTACAGCATTGTGTTTAAACCAGCGCTGTCTGGGAATTTAGGTTGTCAGGGTCACCCCCCTGGGAAGCGGTGAAGCCAGGAGGTGAACCCAGAGCCCCAGGCCCAGCACTGCCTGCTGTAGGCGTGGGCGGGTGACTCGCGGTCTTTCTCTTTCCCAGGTTACGGCCTGCACTGCCACAGGGCCATCACCACCATCTGCCGGCTCATCGGCATCAAAGACATGTACGCCAAGGTCTCCGGGTCGGTCAACATGCTCAACCTCACGCGGGGCCTCTTCCATGCTCTCGCCACCCAGGTAACCCTTCCCGGGCTCGGAAACAAGTGGTCTGTATTTCAGTTGCACGTGTCAAGGACGCGGTGTGGGGCCCCCCGGGGGTACTCTCCAGGGCCCCCCGGCCTCAGGCTTCCTTTGCCATCTGTGGCCGCATCAAGTTAGTCTCAAACTCTCTGAAGAGTTAGTTAATGCAAATAAACCTTTAAGAAATACTTTGTATGCTTTTTGAAGTTTTAAAATTCAGTATTTTTTGACTGACACCATGCCTAGTGATTGAAGGAGGCTGATTTCATGTGGCTGACCACAGTTCGAATCCTGCTCCTGGCAGCTTGAAAAATATGCTGGGTGTGTGTGCATGGGTGCCCCAAATCCCAACAGGATGGAGAAATAGAGACGGGATTATGGCATGACCACACCCTATGAGACACCTCATGAGGGTCGCTTTCTTCCTCTCCCTGTGTCTCTTTCCTCTTGTCTGTCTGGCAAGTGCATGCACCTTTTGACCAAAAAAAAAAAAAAAAGTCAGTATTTTTAAAAGCCAGTAATTACAATCTCTGTCTTTTTTTTTTTTTTTTTTTGAGAGGTTTTTGCTATAGGGTGCGTGCGCTCGCCTGACAGAGACAGACGGAGAGACAGAAAGCAAGAAATCACCCCCTCCCCATGGGGGATGGCCACCTCTCAATCCCTTCTCCTACGTTCTCCTCTCAGGATCTTGGGCACACACGCACACGCACCTGGCGTGACTTTAAGCCACTGGGTCCGGGACTTGAACCGCAGTCGACTACATGGGAATCCAGCAACAGCCATTATACCAACTGCTGGTCCCTACAATCTCTATTTTATTATGAATAAAAATCCATTGCTTGCTCTGAAATTCCAACAGTCTGGAAATCAAAAATGCAGAGGAAAATCCCTTTCCGAATGTCCTTTCAGTCGGGACGAGGGCGAAGCCCTTAGGCCTCTCCACATAAGAGGAGCACGGTCAGCTTTCTCGTTACCTCCACAGGTGCTTCCGACTAGCATCTGCGTTGCAGGAACCAGAACATTAATATGCCAGGCGATTGGCCCCTCAGCCTGGCCCTGATTTACTCCATGGCGGAGGGGAAGGGGCGACGTCTGCACAGGCCTGCCTCCTGGCAGCCTCCTCTCTGGGCCGGCCTGTCCTGTGGAAGGACGTGCAGACCTCAGCAGGGCTGGAGAGGGGAAAAGACAGCCAACTTCAGCTGGCTCCACCTGCCGGGCTTGGTTCACCGAGGACTTCAACAGGCTTCCCGACAGAATACAAAGGCGATTTCAGAATAAAATGGGCCATGGCGTCATTTTACATGTCTCTATTCAAAATAGGAAAATTAATTTAAAAAAAGGAAGGCTTTGGATACAGGATCTTTTTGAACCACTTTTATGTGTGTTGATACTATCTAAAACAGCTTTCAAAGCTCTTCTGAACTTTGACTCGCTGTTCAGGTTTGTTTGATGTAACCGAGGTGTTGATATTAGAGAGCTCAGATTTATAATCCAGTAGACTTGTTTTATGTGATTTTTTTTTTGTCAGTACTTTGAACCTTCTGCTGTAATTCCATGTATCATCACTTCTAAAATGCCATCCGTTCTAAAAAGTTGCATTCCTTAATGTGCCACTGAGACTTTAAAAAGTGCCACCATTTTAAGTAACATGCTATCAAAAGACACCAATTTAAATTATGTTGTTGTAAAATAACTTTTCTTTTTAAAGGATTATTTATTTGTCATTATTATTATTATTATTATTTATTTGACTAGAGAGAGAGAAAGAGAAAGTGAGAAAGCAAGCCACCAGCTCTGGGACTCAAACCGTAGTCAGCCATGTGGGATTCCAGCATCTTAACCACCGTGCCACTTGTTGGCCCTGTGAAATAACTTTCCTAGTTTCAAATTAGAACAATACAAGGTGACCATAAAGTTTGGAAACAAGAGCTTGAACATACCAGGTGTTTCAGGTACTAGGAATAAAGTCTCTCTTAAACTTATTTCTACCAGTGACAGATCAGCACAGCAAACACTGTAAAGCCAGTAGGTGGTCTAGCCCTAGTGCCTAGAATACCTGATCTATTCACGTCCGTGTTCCCAGCCCTCATGGCCACCTTATGTTGTGTTCCCAGACACCTGTGGCCACCCTCCCTGGAGAATCCCCAAGGCCTGTTCATCCAGCTTGGGACTGGTCTTGTTTCTTAGTTACCCCCCAGCCCCCAGCCCCTAAGCCCCACTTATCTTCTTGAACCAAATATCATGCATCTTTTTTTTTCATCCAAATATTTTACTATATGTGTCTAAAATGTAAGGATTACAAAATACCCCATAGGGGGCAGGAGGTTGGTGTGGTGGTTTTAAGGCCCTGAACCTCCCACATGATAGGCCACAGTTAGAGTCCCAGACTCGGTGGCTTGAAATTCGTGCCAGGTATGTGCGTGTGCCCAAAATCCTGAGAGGAAAATGGAGGAGAAGGGATTGTGGTATGGCCATCCTCCTGGGAGGGGATGATTTCTCACTCTCCCTTTGACTCTCTCTGGTGGTGCATGCACCTTAGGGCAAAACCTAAAAAAGGAACATATCTAAAAACTTCATAGTAACTCAGTCTCATCAGATATCTGATCATTGTTCACACAAACGTGCCCATTTATTAGATTTACAAGAGCTTTTTACCCAGTTCACTTGAACCAGGTTGCATAAAAGAGCAGGACTAATCCGTAGGCTGCTTTTTTTCCCTCCTTGTAGTTTTGTTTGTTGAAGAAATCCAGTAGTCTCGTAGTAGTTTCCAGCACCCCACAGGTGCTGACTAAGTACTTACAGGATCCTCACTGTGTGTTCTCCTCTGTATTTTCTATAAATTAGTAGTGAGAAGCTCGGCGAGATTTAAATTCAGTTTATGGCACATAATTAGGAGGGTTGGGAAGGCATGAGACCAGAGGCTGAGGCTCTTCCTCCATCCCCGCTGGGGAGCAGATGAGGCTGAGAGGATTCCACTCATGACAGGTCATCCTGTCACCGTGGTTCGCCATAAAACATTAGCCACAGTTGATGGAAATGGTCTTTTTAAAAATAATTATTTATTTAATTTTTGATTTATTCATTCATTTATTTTAATTTGATCAAAAAGGGGAGTGAGAAAGCACGCTGCCAGGCCCGGAACTCGAACCATGGTCGGCCATGTGGGAGTGTCCAGCCCCTTAACCACCACGCCACCTGCCGGCCCCCAGGAAATGGTACTTAAATTCCCCAGTTGTAGTGTTTTTCTGCCGACTTCCCTCTGGCCGAGGAAGTTCTACTCTAGCTGCAGATGAACTTCATGAACCTGACCTGGCGTTCTTAATTCGGTCTCTCCCAGGAAACCCACCAACAGCTGGCAGATAAGAAGGGACTGCATGTTGTGGAGTTCCGGGAGGAGTGTGGCCCTCTGCCCATTGTGGTCGCCTCCCCCCAAGGGGCCCTGAGGAAGGATTCAGAGCCGGAAGATGAGATTCCAGACATCAAACTGGACTGGGAAGAAGTGAAAGCCACGCAGGGAATGAAGCGCTCTGTGTGGTCCAACTTGAAGAGAGGCGCCATGTGACATGTGATCTGCTCTGGCCACCTGCAGCCAGCCCTGTGCTGTCCGGCACCTGGGAGAGCCCCGAGCCCTCACACCATGGGGTGTGTCCTTTTTTTTTTTTTTAAAAAAAAAAAAAAAGGGAAATCTTACCTTAGCTCCTTTATTTACAAATAAATAATTATAACTTTTACTTGTTAAACACATGGTATATGCTAGTCAGTGTGAGAGGGGCTTTCCAAACGTGTCTCAGTTCAAGACTACTTTAAATATTCCTCGAAACCCGCAACAGTAAGTGAATTAGAGAGGCAGGCCTAATGGTCCAATCCAGTCAATAACAATACGTACAATAATAGTAAATATTGTAATAACTTCAGTTAAGACCTCTTAACTCTGATTCATCCAAAATGAATGTTAATAACTTCTTTTCACAAGTGCTTTGATAACTTTACTGTATTGAGGAGCTGCCGGTTAGGCTGTCAGGAACGTTGTGATGTGTTTTTCTATGCAGAAACGCATCATGACGTTCCCGACAGCCCAGTACCTTCCACAGTGGCTCTACCATTTTAATCCCCACCGCAGCCATGGCTTCTCCATGTCCTTGCCGCTCACTCAGTCTTCTGTTGATAGCCGCCCTGCTGGATATGAAATAGTGCCTGGTTATATTCATGGATTTATTTCCTTTTTACATTTTGCTGTAGGGCACTGCGTTTGCCAGAGAGAGACAGTGAGAGGGAAAGTGAGAAATCACTCCCCCATTACAGCAAGGGGGGTGGCCTTGTTGTAATCCCTTCTGTTTCATTCTCCTCTCAGGATTTTGGACGTGCATGAAAACGTGCCCTGTGTGGTTTTCAACCCACTGGGTCTGGGACTCAAACAGTGGTCGGCCATGTGAGAGTCCAGCGCCTCCACCACCATGCTACCTCCTGGCTCCCAGACTCGGATAAGAGATTCTTCTTAGAGCATAGTGCTCTGGGGTATCAAGACGGGTTTTTCCCCTTCTGCCAGGAGCATGAGGGGCCTCGTAGACCTTCACTTTGGGGACCTGGTAGAACTGGAGGTCGCTCTGTCCCTACGTAGCTGAAGTTCCCTGTGGCCCCTCTCACTGGGTGTCCTGGAGCTTTGAACTTCTGTCTGTCGCACAGACCACAGCAGACCCAGTGTAGGCCAGCCCGCCTTGGACTGGTTCCTGGGGAGGTTCTGCTCAAGTAAGCTGTGCTGCTCTGTGGCAAGCCCGTCTGTCTCTGTTTTGGAGGCCGTGGTTTGCTCTGTGACCTCACTTCTCTGATGGATCTAAGAAGAGCTGATTTTTCAGTTTACGTCATTGCTTGTGGGGGCCAAGCGTTGACCTCTAGGCTCCAGGGCAGACCAGTAACCGGAAGTCTAAGCATGTCAATTAGACAACTCAAACAGCTAGATTTGACTGTTGAAAAAGCAGGATCCAAGTACATGCTTCCACAAGAACCCACTTTAACTATAAAGACTAGGAGTTGAAAGTACAAAAAATAAAGCATTCTGACACCGGTCAGTTGAAAGCTACAGTGTGTGTGAATCTTGGGCAACAGAGATTGCAGAGTAGAGAATGTTACTTGGGACAAAGGGCCATTTTGTAATACTAAAGCATTAATCTATCAAGACGAAATAACAGTTCCAAGAACTTAGGTGCCTAAAAATAGAGCTCTGGACTGGCTTCGTGCCGTAGCAGTAACGTGTTGCTCAAGAGAAGCCGGAGCCCCTGTGACCGTGGTTTGGATCCCTGGTGAGCCTGAAACATGCCAGATGTGTGTAAGTGCACAGTATCCCCGGATGAAGGACTGGTGGGATCATGGCGGGCCAGATTCTGTGGAGGGAGCTTCTCTCTCATTTACATGCACGTGTGCTCTCTCATGAATAGAGAAGAAGACTTAAAATAGACCTTCAAATAAATGAAGCACAGATAGAACTGCAATGAAAAATAGATCCATGATTAATAGAGATTTTTTTTGAGGGAGAGATTTTTGATATAGGGAGTGTGTACTCCCCAGAGAGACAGAGACAGAAAGCGAGACATCACCCCAGGGGGGATGGCCATGCCGCAATCCCTTCTCTTCCATTCTCTCAGGATTATGGTCATGCACTACACCACCTGTTGTTCTCAATGAATAGAAATTTTTTTTTGAGAATTATTTAACTTTATTTATCTATTTATTTATTTATTTTAATTTGACCAGCGAGGGACAGAGAGAGAGAGAAAGTGAGAATGTAGGCTTCTACATCTAGGACTCGAACCACAGTCGGCCATGTGGGATTCCAGCGCCCTTACCCACCACGCCACCTGTAGGTCCCAATGAATAGAGATTTCAACACCCCTCTCTCTTTTCTTTCTTTTTAATTTTTTTAGTTGTCTTTTTTCTTTTTTGGAGAGGCTTTTGCTATAGGGCGTGTGCGCTCGTCAGAAAGACAGAGACAGAGACAGAAAGTGAGAAATCACCCCCCAGGGGGAATGGCCATGCTACAATCCCTTCTCTGTTCTCCTCTCAGGATCTTGGGCACGCACGCACACGCGCCCGGCCCCCTCTCTCAATAGTAGACACAAGTAGAAGTTTGGCCCAGGCATGAGCAGCACCACTGGCCAGCTTGACAAGTACAGAACACCCCACTACCATCAGCAAGGTGGACTTATGATAGGCCCTAAAAAGTCTCAAATTTGAAAGGATTCAAAACATTTCTGAATCATAGTGGGTTTAAATTAGTAGCATCTAGAAAATCCAACCAAATATTTGAAAACTAAGTGACAATTTTTTAAAAGAATTTTTTTTAAGAGTTTTTTTTTTTTTTTTTTTTTTGCTATAGGGCACATGCACTCACCAGAGACAAACAGAAAACGAGAAATTGCCTCCCCCTGGGGGGACAGCCATGCAGCAGTCCCATCTCCACTCCCCCCTTGGGATCTTGGGCATGCACGCACACATGCCCGCCATGAGTTTTAAGCCACCAGGTCCAGGACTCGAACTGTGGTTGACTACATGGGAGTTCAGTGACATAACCATTACACTATCCACTGGTCTTTCTATCCTTTTTTTAAAAATAATTTTATTTATATTTATATATTTTTAAAAATTTGCTATAGGGCACATGTGGTCACCAGAGAGAGAGAGAGGGAAAATGAGAAAGCAAACCGCCAGGTCCGGGACTCAAACTGTGGTCGTCATGTGGAAGTCCAGCACCTTAGCCACCACACTATCTGCTAACTCCAGTGACATACTTCTAAGTAACCATGGGAAAGAACAAAAATGACTACTTTTTATCGAGGGCACTTGTACTTGCACCCTCAATGGGGTTTGGTCACGCTGCCGTTCCTTCTTCATTTCTTCATCCTGTCGGGATTTGGGGGCATGCTCAGATGACGGTGTGTTTTTCACCAGGGCCAGGATTTGAACCAGAGCCAGCCATGTGGGATCTGGCCTTTTAACCACTAGGCCATGGGACCAGCCCAAGAACAAAAATTAAAAGAGGAAATAAAGTATTTTGAATGGACCAGACTTTAAAGCTACAGTACTGGCGGGAAGACAAGACAACACAGACGATGCAGGAAAATAGAGAATATAGGAGTACACTTGCCAAATAAGGTCAGTTGAGCTTCAACAAAGATGCAAAGGAAACTCAGTGACAGGAAGCTGCAACAAACGGTGCTGGAATAGATGTGTACCCGCATGCAGAAGCCGACTTGGAGCCGTACGGCACAACGCGTATAAAACTACTTTCTAGATCAACTTATGAAACCCCACACTAAAATTTCTAGAAGGAAACAGCAGCAATCTCTACGACCTTGAGTTAGGCAAAGATTTCTTCATTATAGCATCAAGGGCACGATCCATAAAATGTCAATAAACTGGCCCAGCGATGGTGGCAGAGACGGCAGGGAGCCACTGCGTGATGCGTGGGCCACATCGGAAGGCCCAGGGTTTGGATCCCAGGTCAGCTTGAACACGCTGGGGTAACAGGCATGTCTGTCATCCTGGCTGGTGGGAAGGCTGGGGAGAGGGTCACAGCCGGGCATGGCTCTGCTGGAGGTCCCTGCCTCCACCTCTCAGTAACTAAAAAAATTGACTTTATCAAAATTAAGAATTTCATCCCTTCAGGACCAGCAGTTAGCATAATGGCCATGTCACTGGACTCCCATGTAGTCGACCGTAGTTCGAGTCCAGATACCGTGGCTTGTATCCAGAATACATAAGGAATTCTCTGAACTCATAATTAAAAAGCAGCACAATAAAAGTAGGCAAACAATTTGGCCCCTTCATAGATTTGGCAAGTCAGCACATGAAGAGATCCTCATAGGGGCCAGCAGGCGGTATGTTGCTTAGGGCACTGGACTCTTACATGACTGACCATGGTTTGAATCCCACACCTAGAGTATTGCTGTCTCACTTTCTCTGGTGAACCTACAGCAAATTAAATAATAAATGCATAGAAAAGATACTGATCACCTATTAGGGAAATGCAAGTTACAACCACTAAGAGATACCACACACACTTATTAGAATGTCTAAAGTTAGGGACCAGCAGTTAGCATAATGGCTATGTCGCTGGACTCCCACGTAGTCAACCGCGGTTCACGTCCCGGACCCAGTGGCTTAAAAATTCATGCTGGGCACATGTGCGTGTGTGCCCAAGGTCCCGAGAGGAGAATGGAGAAGGGATTGTGGCGTGGCCATCCAACCTGGGGGATGATTTCTCGCTTTCTGTCTCTCTGTGTCTCTCTCTCTCTGGTGAGCGCACGCGCCCTATAGCAAAAACCTCTCAAAAAAAAAAAGAATGTTGAAAGTTAAATCTTTTTATGGACCAGCTGGGGGTGTGGTGGTGAAGGCAGCTGGATCCCACATGACCGACTGCGGTTCTAGTCCTGGCACTGGTGGCTTGAGAAACACACCAGGTACATGTGTGTGTGTGCCTTAAATCCTGATAGGAGGGAGAAGTGGAGAAAAAGGGCTTACAACCATTCCCCGTGGGAGGGAAGCTGCTTTCTAACTCTGCCTGCCATGAGTGCATGTGCTCTCTGGCAAACTGAAAATAAATAAATGTTATACCAACTCTGGGCAAAGATACAGGACAATGGAAGTTCTCATACACTCCTAGTGGGGGT